AAGAATGCTAAGGCTGCTCAGTTCTTGTCTCCCATTAAGATTTGCCGTGGCAAGACGAAGGAAAAGATAGCAGCCGACTCCGTGAACGGAGCCCAGGCGGCCAAAGCTTTGAAGCTTGCGAAGAAGCAGGCACTTCGTGATATCGGCAAGGCCAAGACGAAGCGGGACAAGAAGAACAAGCAGTCCAAGGAGGACGCCGAGCTGGAGACCCCCGCCAGCAAGCTCCGCCGCACTACTTCCCCGGACAGTGCACAGCGCAAGAGTGTGGCGGTGTGCATGGACGTGAAGAAGAAGGCAGTCGCTCAGGGCAAGACGGTGGCAGCCTACCTCAACGATCAGCCCCGCAAGTCGTTGAAGCAGCAGCTGGAGGCCGAAGCCGAGGAGGACTGGTTTTTTGAATCCACCACAATGGTTTGCAACCACACACTGGGGTAAAGAGGTTTTCTCTTAGAGTTGAATTAATGTAAAGTAGTTTTTTATAAATCATTGAATTCAAGCACGGAGGATTCCGATGCGGACTCCTCTTGCTCCGATGAAGCAAGCTCCTCCGAGCCTGGCGGTGACAGCGAGGACAGCTCCCAAGCAGACAGCTCCGAGGGTCCCGAGGCCAGCGAGGCCGCAGGGTCCGGGGATGAGAACAGCGTCGACTCCGAGGAGCCGGTCTCTGAGTCTGAGGAGCAAGAGCAGGAGCCGGAGAAGCCCAGCCGCAAGCCGGCTTTGAAGCCGAGCTCGGTGAAGAAGGATAAGAAGGATGAGTCTGAGGCGGAGACCATGAAAAGCGCGGCCAAGCCTACGCCGACCAAGCCCGAGGTTGCCAAGGCTTCGAAGAAGGAGAAAAAGGAGAAGAAGGCGGCAAAGGAAAAGGAGGAGAAGAACAAGGAGCCCGCAGAGCCCGCAGAGCCCGCAGAGCCCGACAAGCCAAAGCCGAAGGCAGCCCTGAAGCCCCAGGCGGTTAGTGGGTTGGAAAGCAATCTGGAAAGGGCCGACTCCGAAACCAAGAAGCTCTATGAGAATGCCAACAGAAGCTTATACCATATTCGATCATGATCATATACCGTCTTGTGTATGCATTTCATTTAAAGTATCATTGCCCTCCAGATATTCGCCGAGGTACCAC